AAACCAGACAGACCTGGTTTCCAAGGTCTTCCTTGGACCAATCATTTAATCCCTCTAAACATGTAACCTTTCACTTAAGACGGGGTGATGCTGCGTCTACGCACAGGACGCATTCTGGATAGTGCCTGGTTGTAGGAAGCACCCTGTAAATGCGGCCTGGGAGTCCTGCTCTGTTTGAGTCTGATTTCTCAGCACACAGAGAGCACGCCTTGCTTTGGGGGCCACCCGTTGTGATTCGAGATCTGCATGACACTGCCTGGAAACAGAGCAGTGACCCTCTTGGTTCAGTTTGCACCACGGCTCCAGTTTTTGAGTAAGAGGCCGGCGGGAATGGAAACTGTGACTTCTAACCTGTCACACTTCTTGAGTACCCTGTCTTGGAAACTGGTTACAGAATCTCAGAAAGAAAAAGAATCTGTTAAATCTAATATTGTGCGCAGATGAACCAGCGTATCTCTCGCTAATCAGCGGAGTGACTAGCCCTGAGCCAGGCATCTCTTTTATTTCCCTTGGCTTGTGGCCCAAGTAACAATTAACAGTGACTGATGTTCTAAGGGGAAGCTTTCTGTCTGCATGGCTGGGTTTTCTCAGGGGAAGTTAGAAATAAGATACTTGACAGAGTTTACCTAGAAAAAAAAATTAAAAACTACAAGAAGCCACCTGTATTATTTGTGGATAAAATATACTTGGAAAAACTTCAGACAGAATCAACACATTCACAGATTTTATTTATTAAAAATTACCTTTCCGAACTTTAGAAAGTTATGAAACATACTAGAAACTATTTTTTCCCTGTGCTTAAAATTCTAGAACACTTATCTCTGTAGTTAATGTTCACAGGTTAAGAGAAGCAGTTTTCTGGAGGGTAGGTCCCCGAATCAGAGATTCCAAGCTGAAGAATTACAGCCCAGGAGTATCGCCCCAACAAAGAGTTTTCCGTTTCTCACTGGGTGCTTATCGTAACATACAAAGATGGGGCTTCTAAACTCACTGTCTCTTGAAGAAAAAAAACCATGATTAGAATTGGACACCAGGGTACCTGTTCCCAAAACAAGAAAATGCAGTCATCCTGAGGTAAGGACACCAACATAAACCAGCTTTGCTTGAAAAACACGCATCTGTATTCCAGACTCTGTCTCTGGTTTTGCTGTTGGTTGATGGATGCTGGGTGGAGATTCCACGGGGTCGAGCTGTGCTCATGGTTTTCCATTGCCTGTAATTCTGTCTCGTCCTTTCCTCGGTGCCCCTAAGTATCCTCTGTTCTGTCAATCAAACTGCCTCTCAGAAAGGTCTGAGTGTCTCTTATGAGTAAATCAATGCATGTCCTCTCTCATGGGTTTATCTATTTTAGCCTGGACAGTTAGAGCTGTGAGTGATCACGTCCTTAGTATAAAACAAGCCCTGAGCCACTGTTCTCCCAGTTCACCTTCTCGATCACTCTATGATCACGGTAGATAAAATTATTACCTTATTTTATCAATCGGTAAGTTTCAGCACAGGGAAGACAGTGAGGTTTGCCCAGGGTGGTCCCACAGCTAAAAGTGGTCTGACTTCAAAGCCTGAGCTCTGAACTAACTATATTGATTTAAAAAGCCGAATGATTTGAGGGACAGGCACTTGGATAGGTGAGGAGCATTCTAGAAGTTTCCCTGCAGGCTGAGCCCAGTACCGTGGGCTGAAGACCTGAGCTCTGCCACACACCAGCCGCAGGAGTCACCGCCCATGGAGGGGGGGTGGGGTTCTACCACTGAATGGCGGGGGGATTCCAGCCCTACCTTCCATGACCCTTTTGCTATGAATAGGTTTGAGAAAGTCAAAAAAAAAAAGCAAAATAAACAACTTATGGAGAGAAATGGGATTCTATGGTTGTGTGTCGATTTTTTTGAGACTAAAGATGCAACAGCAGATTCCGCCCTGATTGAGAAGGTGTGCTGCTCAGCGAGCAAGCAGCCAGGCTGGGGAGAGCCCCATAGGGGTCCATCCCCTCCCGGCGCTGAGTAGGGAGCAAGGACCAGACCTCTCTCAACACTCAAGAGGAACTCGACTTTCTCGCCTGTGCTGCTTGGGGCCTGTTGGGAAAACTCATCAAGCAACATTGATACCCAAGGGCTTGGGGCACCTGTTACACCCCCCAACTGACCCCCATCCCGGATGACTAAACAGAGAGGCCATCTCCACCATGAGCTCTCCGGGTCTGCCAGAGCTCCCTGGACCACTGGGGCCCTCAGCCTCTCACACCTCTCAGGGAAGGAGCTCCAGGCCCACTCCCCAGACCTTGCAGCCCTGGCCGGACAGCGTCTAGGTGAGCAGATGGCCTTGGGGAGGACACCTCCGTCATGGCTTCTACTGATCCAAGAGGTAAGTTCCAGTCGACCCACTAAATCTCACCACTCCTCTCCCCACGGCGCCAGCATCTCAGAGGGAAACAGGAGAGTTAGATGGAGTCCACTGATCCTTACACTTTGCCAGCTGCTCTGGGAAGGGGCCTCTGCAGTCTGGATTTCAGTTGTGAGGGGAGAGGAAGGGACGTGGAGGGTTCTCAAGAATCCGCTCTGCCTGTGGCTTTGGAAAGGTGATGTCA